CCCCTCCCCATTCTCCCCCTCCCCTCCCCATTCTCCCTCCCCTCCCCTTTCTCCCTCCCCTCCCCATTCTCCCTCTCCCCTCCCCATTCTCCCTCCCTCCCCATTCTCCCTGCCCCCAGCGAGCCCCAATCTACTTCCCGTCTCTGTGGATTTGCCTAGTCTCGATACTTCGCATAAATGGACTTGTACAATGTTTGGCCTTTTCCTGACTTCTTTCACTGAGCATAGTGTTTCCAAAGCTCACCCACGTGTGTCAGCACCTCGTTCCTCTTCGTAGCCTCATAACAGTCCACTGTACAGATGGGTCACATTTTATTTTTTCATCAGTTGATGGTCATTTGGGTTGTTTCCACTTTCAGATTATAGAGCTTTTTTTTTCTTATAATTTTATTTATTTTGGCCACGTGGCACACAGGACCTTAGTTCCCAGACCAGGGATCGATCCCGTGCCCCCTGTGATGGAAGCGCGGCGTCTTAACCGCTGGACCGCCAGGGAAGTCCCAGGTTACAGAGCTTTTTAAAACGACTCACAATACAGTTTCTCCACTCACTGTCCCGTGGGGGAAAGCTCGGCCAATGCATGTGGTTCAAGCCCGGGCTCGTGGCGAGCGCTCCTCCCTGCGACCGCAGGCCCCAGCAGTGCTGGCCGTCGGGAATCACGCCCTAGGAACTCCGCACACAGCTGAAAGTCGGCCTCATTGCTCTTGACACACTTGTCGAGTTGCTTCAATATCTACCCTGAGAAGCTCCACCCCGACAGGCACAGTCTAGCTTGAGCCAGGGTCTAGTGACTCAGCGCTGCCCCACTGTGCAACACTTTCTAATCTGATCAATTGAGCTTCCTTGTACGATCAGATAGTGAGATGAAAAATGTTCGTTTTGGTTACAGGCTGCAGCTGCGTCCTGGAACCTTCTTCAGGCCGCGTGTGCAGGAGGTAAGACATTAACATGGGTTTAGGGCAAGTTTCCCCTCACAGACGTGATGAAACTCGTCAGCCTTCCAGGGGTCCCTGTGGACCCCCCGGGGGTCCTCCTGTTTCTCAGGTTTCACTCCTGCTGTTGGGCCCAGGCAGGGAAAAGCCCCGACCTCCAAGCCTTAGGCAGAGTGAAGAGAAGGTCACTGCCGGTGTCAGCTTCAGTCCGCTGGAAAAAGGAAAACAGAGGCGATTGTGTTCTCTGGAAGCCGAGGCTCCCAGCACAGCGTCTCCTGTTTTCAAAGTAGGAACGTGTCCACAGCTAATATTTGGATGGGCCCGCAGGCGTCTTTCTGCTGCGGAGGCCTGGGCCGGTCCCTTCAGAGACAAAGAGCTCCTGCTGGGCGCCTGGGGAGAGGGGTGTTTGGCTGAGGGAGGGCAGGGCCAGCCTGATTGGGCTCTTCTTGTTTTAGGCAGAGTTTTGCAAAGGGAGCGGCTAAAGCAGAGTGTGGGGTGTCTGCTCCAGAGACCCTCTGTTTCTCCACCCAGCACGGCCGGTTCCTTCAGGCGCGGCCAAGGACAACACTGGCCCACGAGCCTGGACCACATGGAGCTCTCGCTGCAGAGAGAGTTAGGAAGCAAACAGAGCTCACTCGGCCCAGCCCCGCTCAGCTGGCTCCTCTGAAGCCTCACCCAGGGCGGCAACGCGCGGGCAGGCAGTGGGCCTGGGCCGAGCCTGGGCACCTCCCGCCCACAGACAGCAGAGGGTCTGAGCAGGGAAAGCACGGCCGGGCCCCGATGCACACGTGGTGCAGGTGCAATGACCTGAGAGGCCGTGAGCCATGTGCAGGGAGGGGGCGGGGAGTGCCCCAGGGATGACTTGGTCCGTTTTTAAAGGGCAAGAAGTCCTCTGGGACAGCACAGGGGCAGGGAAGAGGGCTGCGGAGGGAGGGGCGGCACCCCACGTCGCAGGAGCAGGTCAGGCAAGGGCCCAGGTGCAGCCGTGAGATGCGCCGGCGTGAGTGAGCTTAGTGATGCGTGTGGGTAGCCACGCAAGCGACTGGTCATCGGTCTGCAAAGTCCGGTGTGGACGCTCCTCTGTGGACACTCATCACAGTTTATGACGTTATTTTTTCAATTGTCAGTCTTCTCACTAGATTGTAAAAGTCACATCTATTTCATCAACCTTAAGAAGAACTTGGGGACTTCCTGGTGGTCCAGTGGGTAAGACTTCACGCTCCTAGTGCAGGGGGCCCGGGTTCGGTCCCTGGCTGGGGTACGAGATCCTTCATGCCACAACTAAAGGATCCTGCGTGCCCCAACTGAGGCCCGGCACAGCTGAAAGAAATATGAATAAATAAACATTAAGACCAAAACCTTAAGAAGACTTGAATAACTGCAGAGCCGTACTTCATGGTCCTAGATGAAAAAACTTCATTTTGCAAAAATGGCAACGTTCCACATTAAACTATAAATGTTTAATGTAGTCCCAATGGGATGCTTTTGTAATGTGAATCTAGATTTAAATTCCATCAGATTTTTAAATGAAGAATCATATTTGCAATCACATATTGAAACTGTCATAATAAAATAGATGGTGCTCATGTAGGAACAGCTAGATCAACAGACCAGAGGAGGAAATTTAGAAACAAAATTAGGCGTATATGGTAATTCAGTTATTATAATGGTCACACGGTAAGTGGTGTTGGAATAACTGATTGGTCGTTTGGAAAACAAGTCACCCGAATGGGGGCGCACGTGTGCGGTCCAGGTGTTCTCAGCTCACAGCGCAACGCGTCTGCCCCTGCATCCGCCAGCTCTGTGGTCTTGCACAGCCAGGGGACGTCAGTGTGTAAGAAGGAGTAACGTGTCTTCTGGGCATCGGCCCCCATCTGTCCACCTGCTAAGTACGCCTGGGGCCCTGCATCTTGTCCAGGAAGGCTTGTGTCCCCTGTGGGGGGTCGTGTCCTCTGAAAGACTCTTCTTTGAGCCCGTGGGCTACAGTGGATAAATGTCCGCCTCCAACGGCTGGATTTACATTTAGGGAGAGGCTGGCCCTTCTCCCAGGGGGGAAAAGAGCCAACCAGGCAACTTAGAATGAATTCACTGGTGGGCTTTCTGGGAAAGGTTTCAAAGTGAAGGACTGCCAGGAATGTTATTAGGTATATTCAACAATATGATTGTAAACCAATTCCGTTAAGATTACTTGAGTGCCTAGAAAGGGGTAAGAAAAAGACAGGAAGAGCTTTTAACAGAAGCTGGTGAAAGGGCTTTGGAGAGGGAAAGCGGGGCTGGTTGCGCAGCCGTGTGAGTGCACTTCATGTCCGAGCCGTGCACTTAAGGCAGTTAGAACGGCAGGTTTTATGTACATTTTATCACCTTAAAGAAAAGGAGGGGGAGGAAAGAGAGCTGAAGGTGAGCTGCCCGCCCTGTGCCCTGAGCCCCCTCTTCCCTGCCCTTCAGCGCCCGCAGGCCCCGCCCAGTGGGCGCTTGTCTCCTTTCTCCATCTGTCAGGAGGGTCCCTTGCGCCCAGGCTGCAGCCTCTCAGGACACCCCTCCCCCAGGGCCTCCGACAGTCCCCCTTCCCCCACCCCGCATGTCCTCGTGTCTCCACAGCTGCACGGCCCGCACTCTGTCCCCATCTGACGCTCTCAGTGCGGAGACCACCTGCGTCCTCCCCCCGCCGCCCGCACGGGATGCGCTCAGTTCCCGCTGGAAAAAGCAGCCAACGGGTCCGAACCTCGTGCTTGTACTGCGGCCGCCTCGAAGCACCTGCTGCCCACGGCGGGGCTGCACACAGAATACTCAGGACCGATGATGCAAATATTTACATCCTGAACACTCGAGTGCGGGCAGTTTCCTGGACTTGGGGCTATAGAAACATATGTATAATACTGATATATTCTTAGTGAAGATTGTAGGTGGAAGATGTAGAAAAAATAACTAATAATTTGCATCGTAATTCACGTTAATTTAATTATTTTTCTTATAATACGTTATTATTCCTGTTACCAGCAAGCAAGCCAGGGCTTATTGATAAAACATTGTCAGGTGAGGTGACTCAGGTCTCATGGTTTTGGGTGAAAACTCTGTGATTCAAGCTCAAGTGTCTGATTCCCAAGCACAGGTTTGTTTTTCAGAGGAAACACAGCTAGAATAAATTGCTGGAATAAATCAGTCATTAATGATCCATGTCGACAAAGGGAGAGAGTGCGTTTGAAATCACGGAATTACCACCCCTACACGCACTAGCCCCAGAGCTCACTAAAATGCTTAGAGGTTTAGGGTCGGGGCAGAAACCGTGGGCATTTGGCCTTGTCTCGCATAAGCTTTCTTTGTGGAAATAGTTGAGTAAGATAAGACACAGTCTCTTTCTCTCAAACACAAATCGCGTATCGGTTTAGGAAATCAACATACACAGAGTTGAGAGAGACTCAGGCAAATTTTGATTTTTTATAGCCATATAAGCGATTTAAGTGCAGGATAGAAAATTTTTAAAGATACATAAAGACAATGATACAATCTCACATAGTCCTGCACCAGTGACAACCACAGACAATGCTCTGGCGCACTTGGTGGAACGTGAATCCACGCTGACTGAGACCACAGCGCTTCATACAGTAGCACCTCACAGCCCACCCGGTCCCAGCCTTCCCTTTAGAGGCAGAGCCACACAGGGACCAGGTGGCCGCGAGCCGGGGGCGGCCTGGGCCGAGGCCAGTGCTGTCTCCACCTTTCCCTCCATCCTCAGGCAGGGCCCCTGTACTCTCGGGGACACACCTCCAAGGTCACCCAGACCGGCTCCTGGGACAGCTGGACCTGCCCCCGTACCAGGACAGACGGGCCTGCGTCAGAAAGGCAGCCTGACCCTCAGAATGTCCCTCTGCTGGGCTCAGGCGACCACCCAAAATCTGTCCTCCTGTTCCCCGTTCCACCAATGACACCTCAGCAGAGAGTTAAAGTGACACGACTTTCCGGCACCCCTCCCGCCTGTTCGAGGGGCTGATTTCCACTTAGGGGGGTTTATTTAGATGGTTTCCTCTGACGGCATCCCCGGCGTCCACCTGGCTTCCGGGCCAGCTCTAAACGGCTCTGGGGCCAGCCTACTGCCACGGAAGTTGGCACCGCCAGACGCAAGGACCCCAAGCATTTTGAAAATTAATTAATTTTTTGACGCTCGCTATATTCATACTTCTTGGATATTTTATAGTAAGAAAGTATTCGCATAATCCTTGAGTTTTGTGGGGTTTTTTGGCTGTGTTGGGTCTTAGTTGCGGCACACAGGCTCTTTCGTTGCGGCGCACGGGCTCAGTAGGTGTGGTGCACGGGCTTAGCTGCCCCACGGCATGTGGGATCTTAATTCCCCAACCAGGGATCGAATCCGCAACCCCTGCATTGGAAGGCGGATTCTCAACTACTGGACTGCCAGGGAAGTCCCCCCAAGTATTTTTATCTTTGGGACTTTTTGAAGTTATTTTGTAATGGGAAGGAAACTAGCCCCTACTGGATCGCTGTGATGCACGGGTGTTATAACAGGTACTCTATGTAATTCTGTCCCTTTTTTCTCACAACCATCCTTATTATCCCCATTTTACTCATGAGGAAATGCAATCATATAGGTAGTAAACAGTCAAACAAGGCTGAAATTCAGATCTAACTCTAACGTGTTTTCTTCTGTGAACGCTGCTGCTTCCAGGAGTGTCATCTTAAAGTCTTCGCACTTTCTAAAGTGTAGTTTGTCCAAGTGACAGTCACTCCCGGGGGGCCGAGCATCCCTTTGACAGACAAAGTGGCCAGTTAGCACTTACGACATACTTAGTAGATGTTCCCTCACGAGTTGTGGCGTAAAAGGAAGAAAGTCGAGCGAGGTAGGAGGTTGTTGGGTCTGAGCCCCAAAAGCTCCGGGGCAGAATGGGTGGAGTCCTGGGTGGTGACAGGGCGAACCCAGGCCTTTCTCGGGAGCAGCCGCAGGCCATCACCTCAGCCGTGATGAAGGGTCCAGGGCAGAGTAACGCGAACCCACCCAGCGGCGCTGAGGCGGGCTGCATGCTGAATTAGCTAGAACCCGTTTTTCTGGGACGGAAAGTATGAGTGAGTTAAGTGGCCCAAATATACGCCTACAAATGACCCAGGGCAATGATTCTACTGCTTATGACTCAAACCCTCTCCCTATAACATGGGACAAACAATACTGCACTCCCTTTACATCCTGGAGAAGTTGGGAGAATTTGCAGAAGTTATCTTAACCCATAATCCTGGTTACACCCCCAATACAGTCCTCTGAGTCCTTATTTCTTGCATCCCAGAACCACAGGAAAAGAAGCTTTCCGACACAAAACACAGAAATTACACAGCGCTACCCGAGTTAATTCTAAAATTCAGTTTCTACCAAATCCAGGCACACTGTTGGTTACTGCTTCATAAAACTGAAAGATCTTAGAGACGACCCGGTCCGGTGACGGCAGGTGTCTGCCCTGTGTCCAGTCCCTAGCGAGACCACCATTCCACGGCGCCTCAGCGGCCTTCTTAGCTGGCACCTGCACCAGCACCCCAACTGACTGCAGCTGGCATCGGAATGGAAACCTATTTGCCATCCCTGATCGAATCCTACCCTTGCCTTTTAGAGAAGAAGTGGACGCCTGGAAAGATGAAATGGTGAAACCAGAACGGAGCCAGGACCTCACAGCCGGTCGGTGGCAGAGCCAGCCCTGAGGTCTAGGGCTCTGACTTTCAGCCCACGTCCATGTCCTTCTCACTCCTTTAGGGCTAACGAGACCCAGTCTACTAATCACTTATTCATAAGCAGGTACTGAGAGCCTACTGTGCACCAGGCACTGTGCCCTCAGCCAGCCAGGCAGGAGTTCATAAACCACTGGCCCTTTGTCCACTCAGCATGGGCTGGATCAAAATTCAGCGAGACAGCGAGAGCGAGAGAGAGGCCGGGAGGGAGGGAGGCAGGGAGGCAGGGAGGCAGGGAGGGAGAGAGAGAGAGAGAGGATAGATATTATGGTGTCACTTTTCCCAGGGCTTTTTTTTTTTTTTGGTACGCGGGCCTCTCCCTGTTGTGGCCTCTCCCGTTGCGGAGCACAGGCTCCGGACGCGCAGGCTCAGCAGCCATGGCTCACGGGCCCAGCCGCTCCGCAGCATGTGGGATCTTCCCGGACCGGGGCACGAACCCGTGTCCCCTGCATCGGCAGGCGGACTCTCAACCACTGCGCCACCAGGGAAGCCCTTCCCAGGGCTTTTAAACTTCTCAAAAAGAAGTTTGCCAAGTTAATAGTAATAAGATAGCTCGTGATCCCTCCCGACTACTAGCAGTCTTGTTTGTGAGTTTTTTGTTCCTTCTTCTGGTCTCTTCCTGGCCACTG